CATGCAAAAGGGACAAGGATTCTATACAGAGTTATCTTATGCTCCGTGTTATTGTGGTCCTTATGAAGAAACCGCGCCCTTTACTTTACTGACTCGTTCTTTAGGTAGTACTGACATGGATACGGCTGCTTTGGAAGAAGAAGTTATCTAGCGCAGAGACTTGACCCAACACCCCACATAAGCCCTACAAACCCACCCAAAGCCTAGACATTCCAACACCTTCCTGAACCTATAACATAGAGGCCCGAGTGTTGAGGAATAGTATCCCCTTACCGTCCCTTTACAGTTGTGGTTTTTCGTTCTCATGGGGATATTCTATAAACTAAACTGCAAAAACCCTTTTCGATCCAAGGGACGCGGATGACGTCCGCGCTGCCGTGCGTCGGGCCGGGCACTGAGCTTTGTGATGAGGTTCCAAGGCCCCAAATTCTGAAAGTTCGGGCCGTTTTGGGGCATCTGTGTGTATGTATGTATGAATGACGTGTCTACGGATGTACGCATATATGTAAGTATGTATGTATGACGTATGTACGGATGTACACATGTGTGTACGTATGTATACGTATGTATGTATGTATGTATACGTATGTATGTATACGTATGTATGTATGTATGTATGTATGTATGTATGTATGTATGTATGTACGTACGTATATAGCTGTCCATCTATCCATCTGTCTATCTATCTTTCCACCTATCTATCTATTTATCTATCTATCTATCTACCTATCTGTCTAACCTATCTATCTATCTATCTATCTATCCATCTATCTATCTATCTATCTATCTATCTATCTACGTACTTATCCGATATCATTATATCATATCTGTATCTGTATCTATACCTCTACCTCCACCTATATCTACATCCTTATCTGTATCTATACCTATACCCGTATCTATATCTGTTTGTATGTCTATATCTCTAACCCTACCGTAATTAAAGGGTTGGCCAATTTCGCCAGAGCACTCAACTTTGAATGTTGCCCAAACCCCTGGTTTAGGATTTAGGGCTGCAGGCCTTGACAGGGTTCAGCATTTAGGCTAAAGGATTGCGGCAAGCCTAAACCGCAAACGTATGTTTAAGGTTGAGGTGACTAGGTTACATGTCTAAAAAGGACTTGTGGGGGTTGAGAAAGTGTTTCTTCCGCAGCGGCTTGCTCCGGCATCCCGGCACGAGAAGTTCCTTCCATGTGGGTCCAGGGGAGCTGCCCGGGATTTGCCGTTTCAGGTTCGGGTCTCCCGTTGGAAAGGTAAGCCTAATCTTCAATGAGTTGTGGTGAAGGTCCTGGCGCTTTGAATTTTCGCTTAAATCCACGCAGCCTCACGCAGTCAGGTGTAGGTGTAAGCCTGAGATTTGCGCGAGGCGAAAGAACGGCCCGAGTACCAAGCGGCATCGGCCTCGGCAACTACTTTCTAGTGGTTCGGGTTGTGGTTTCGTGCAGCCTCGTTTGTGTCGGAGTGGCTGAGTTTCTTCAAAGCAAGACTTTCGGACATGCGTGCAAGAATCGGAGCCCGAAACATACGTAAATTATACGCAATACAGCCTCAAATCCAGTTCGTCCCGGACACTACAGACCCACGCGGTCCTCAGGAGGAACAGCAATAGCAAACAACTACAGTAAATAAATCAATTAAATAAACAAACATTATATATATATATAACAAGCAAGACCTGCAGAATTGATTAGATGACAACTTTCAGTGGCAAATGCAATAATAGAATGCCATGCCTACTGTCGCACCACAGCTAGATGCTCTACTTCTGAACACGAAAATGACGTTAACAGCAGTTCCAGCCATACCAATCATGATTCCCAAAACCCATCTGCCTTCTTCAGTGTTCTGTGTCGAGTGAGCGCCACTGATAATGCAGAAAGCACCCCTCCTCCCAGAGATTGCGTAGGAGCCGCTATTTTCAGTGAAGAGACCTACCCAGTGAGCTTCCCAAGAACTCTTGGAATATCTTACCATGTCGTAGGGGTGCCAGAGATCATCGGATTATGGGTGTCGGGTGCAGGCCCGGGATAGGAGCAGGCAGCGCACCTCAGTGAGGTGGCCATACACAGACCTTGGGATGCCGATCTTAGAAGCGTCCGTTATGAGTCATGGCATTCCGTTTAAGCCGCTACGGAAATTCCCGTGCGATGTACCATGGAGCCTTTGCTCAATAGAGTTGGGCCTCAATAGGGCAATGACTTCATACTGGAGCCCTTTTTCCCGGTGTTGTTTCGGACGTCTCTAGGGCTTCTAACCCCAGACCCTAATCCCTAACCTAAACCCTAAACCCTCGACCCTAAGGATGTGAGGTCTAAGAGCCAGCCCTTTCTAGGCATCGGCATGTTATTTTGGCTTAAAGGGACGATTAGGTTCTAAGGTGTAGGGTCTTTAGGGCCGGGTTGCATTGGGCTTAGGGTCTAGTGATGTCGGGATTCAACGTGAAGGCCTTAACCCAAAGCCAAAGCTCAAATTGCAAACCCCTGAAACCCAAACCCGTTAAGCCCCCAAAGTCTTACTTTGCTCTCCAATAGCCAACCTTTAAACTTTTTGGGGATTCCTAGACAAACTCAGGAACCCTATTGAAAGCCCCTAAACACGCGAGCAAGTCCAGGCCCACAACCGCCGCACAGAGGAAGAAGGCCCTGATGAGGCCACGCGATCTTCTTGGTGCCTTCGGGCTTATTTTGCTCAGTTGTTTAAGCCCGCACATTTCATTTTCAGCATGGTTTGTGGATTCCTGTTTGATCAGGAGATCTTCTTTCTGAAAACCCTCGACCCCAAAAACCCTGAAGCGCTAAGAAACCATACAGCCCGACCCGTTGCCAGGGGCCGAAGGAGGCACAAGTGAAGCTGGCAGAGCCGCTTCCGAAGCAGCTGGACGCGAGGGGCCCGGTTGCATGTTCCTGTTGATGCTTCTTGTTCGCGTAATGAACCTCGACGAACTCGGAGCGCGGTCATGGATTAAACCAGGAGACAGGCACATGGAAGGAACGGGTTTTGAGGTGATTGCTTGGGATTTAGATGTAGCCATCCGCAGCCGGGCATATAGTTCTAGTTTGTGGCGTCTAGAAGGACTCTGGCATGAGCAACACCTGAACCTTGGCTTGTATACCCTAAGCCCTGAACCTGAAACCTCAAAAAGTAGTCCGAACCCCAACCGACCCTTGGCGCTAAACCCGCAACTCCTCAGCCCTAAGCCTCCAACCCAAACCCCAAACACTTTACCCTCGACCCTCTGCCCTGAACCTTTAGCTTCGAGTTCCCAAGCCAGAGAAATCCGCCAGCGCCGGCCCCAGGTTTGCACGATTCTGCCCTGGAGCTGAAAACGACCAAAGACCTTCGGTTTAGGGTTTAGGGTTTAGGGTTTAGGGTTTGGGGTTTAGGGTTTAGGGTATTGTTGCAGTGGGTGGCAGCACGGCATGGAATGCAGGAATCCAGTTCGCTTAAGGGTCCAAGCGTTGAAAAAGTACCCAAGCGGAAAGACATCGCGTCAAAGCCAAAGTGCGGAACCTTCGACCCTCACTCCTCTGCAGCAGACCCCAAACCCCTAGGGACCCTAAGCCCTAAACCCTAAACCCTAAACCCTAAACCCCTCAAGCTCCGAAGCCCCTAAGCCCCTTAGCCCGGATCCCTTTCAGCGCCTGGACCCTTAAAGGGACTTGCCAAGGGGTGCAGAGAGCTTGGAGCGAAAGCCCGACGGAGCCGGACAAAAAGATGGGCGTTTCAGAAAATTAGGGTACCTTATTTGGGGGTCTAGGGTTTAGGGTTTAGGGTTTAGGGGTTTAGGGGTTTAGGGGTTTAGGGTTTAGGGTTTAGGGTTAGGGTACCTTATTTGGGGGTCCTTATAATAGGGATCCTATCATTTAGGGTACTATATTAGGGTCCCTTATTTTCGGAAACCCCCATGTGGCGAAAGCCCTCATCCACGAAGGCTTGCACGGTAAACTTCGTAGTGCGAAAGGGTTTGGGGGTTCATGAATTCTGGATTCCCCTTTGGGGCTTCTGGGTTTTTAGGTGTCAGGATTCAGGTTTAGGGCTTATAGGCCATCTAGGGTAGTGTGCTCCCAGCTCTCAGCTTTGAAGCCAGAAGCCAACAGTCTGATCAGCACTGCAGCCTCAGTCCTGACCCTGAACCCTAAACCCTAAACCCTAAACCCTAAACCCTATAAACCCTAAACCCTAAACCCTATCCGTTGAAGGTTAATGCGTGGGCTTGGGTTTCTGGTGAGAACCGAGCGCCTTTTAGACCCTAAACTCAACAAGCCATAACCCACAGAGCGCAATACCCCTTAATTCAGGAATATACCGATCTTAAATCATAATATTACGGCCCTATAATTTTAAGGTATATTCCTTATTTAAGGGGTATTGGGCTCTCTAGGAAGAGCTCTAGAGAAGAAGCCTTCTGGAGGTTGGCATGGCTGCAAGCTGTCGGGGGTCTGCAGGCCAAGATGTGGTTTAAAAAGCTGGTGTTCAGATTCAGGTTTCAGGATTTTGGGGGTTTAGGGTTTAGAGGTTCGTTGGGTTTGGGGTCTATCTTTCCTCTTGCTGCTAGCATCGCTTGGCGGTGCAGTGTCAGCCACATCTTCAAACAGGTGACACAGCTCGTGCGCAGGCTGCCCGGGCTTAGTGGCTATTGTAGGGGCCTTTATAATCAGAAAATAGTTTTGGGTTGGGGGTTCCTCATTATAGTTATAGTATAGTCAACCCCAAAACCCTATTCTAACTACTAAGGCCGCTACAATAGTAGGCTAGGAAGTTTGTTTTGACGGACTGGCTTGGCTTGGCTTAAGGCCGCTTCAGGAGAGGTGTGCCGTCAACCTCAGTCCCAGCCTCTCCTCCTCAAACTTTGAACTCCGAGCTTGGGTTTAGGGTTTCGGGTTTCGGGTTTAGGGCTCAGAGCCCCAACCCTTTGCGCAAGTCGTGCGCTGCAGGATGTTGTGGCTCATGAAGCCGCGTGAAACCGAACCGTCCTTAGCTCTTTAGCCCATACTGCCGACATGCTTTGCCGCGCGGCGGCGCTCTGCTGCGGTCTTCTCGTGGCAGCCTTGAAGACTTCAGATGTGGACCTGGATTCCTCAGAGGTATCTGTGATGCTGCTCCAGCACTCTGTGGATGCTTTGGGCACCGGGAAGATATTTATCGACACCGGCCTCTTGGAACAGAGGCAGGAAGAGAAGGCCGGTCAGAACGTGTCGCAGCCCCAAAACTCCGAGACTTGTCTGACAAAAGATGTTCAAGCGATCCTTTCTGGATTGAAAGACACCGATCAGACCTTGTCATGGGGCCTCGGCTTGCCGGCCGTTGCTCTCTTCTTCATCAGTGCGGTGGTGCTTCTTTTCGGCCACCGATTGGTAGCCCCTGTGGTCCTCACAACTTCGGCTTGTGCCGGTTTCTACTTCACCTTCGAGCTGCTGAAGGCTACCTTCCCCGCTTCCTGCGCAGTGCCGGTGTCCTGACAGTAGTTGAGCTAAGCTTTGGTTCTCAAAATCCACCCCCAAGCACTCAATCTAAACGTCACCAAACAGTCAACCGGGAATCGATCGACCATCGCCCGAAAAGGGGCTGACATCCCCAGATATGGAAAAGTTTAAACCGCAGTCCCAAAGTCTCAAACCCTCAGTATGCCCTGAACATCCTGAAAGTCCAGAACCTAGAGACTCTGGGCCTGCCAGCCTCAGTTCCGCCGAAATTGCCTGCAAGGGACCCAACATGTAAGAACCCTTCTATATCCCACTCTCGAACCTGTAGAAGCAAGATTCGCTTAAGCCATTACTGCATAAACCCCCCATGCATTCCCTGAACCCGTCACAAATCCCTGTATATACTAGTAAGAGCCCTCGGAAATCCCTGTATATACTAGTAAGAGCCCTCGGAAATCCCTGTATATACTAGTAAGAGCCCTCGGAAATCCCTGTACATACTAGTAAGAGCCCTCGGAAATCCCTGTAGATACTAGTAAGAGCCCTCGGAAAGGTTTGGGGTGGCGTTTTGATGGGCGTCGTGGCTGCGGCCGCCGCCGCGTTCTTCATTGAGCTGGCCATCATCATTCCTGGGGCTCTCTTCGGAACCTCATATATATAAGGGCTATATAGGGGTTATATAAGGGGTATATAAGGGTTATTATATAAAGGGGTATATAAGGGGTATATAACTCCTGGCTTTAGGTATCTACGTTCAGAGCTTTAGGGTTTTGGGAAAAGGGTCGTGTCCGTCTGGAACCTTAATTCCAGGGTTCAGGGATCTATGTTGAGGGGTTGATGAGGTTTGGGAGTTTAGGATAGGGGCTCCGAACCTTTTAACAACAAGCCCAGAACTATAAACTTTATGCCAGCCCTAAAAGGCCCCAAACCGTAAAACCCTAAATCCCATGCCCTACACCCTAAAGAGCAAGGGACGGTCCTCGCGTATCAAGCGCAAGTCTTCCTGACCAGCGTCTCTCCCCATCTGCGGAATGCTCCCATCATGGTCACTTGGTAGTTCAGTCGATGTACGGTGTAGGATTCAGGGTTTAGGATTTGGGTCAGGATATAGGGTTTTTGGAACTACCTTGGTCCTAGTACCAAAATGGCACAAGCTTGATCATTATGAAAGGTCATGTAACTCGGCAACTCAGGTGAAGTACTACTGGGTCGTGGCACTTCTTTCTGCACTCGTCTTTGCCTTCGTCGCACACAAGTTGCGGGAGGCTCGTCCAGCTTGCCAGGGTTCAGCCCCCAATGTGCAAACTCGCATGGCTACCCCGAAGTCAGGATTTCTTAACTACAAGCCTAGAGCCAAACACCTGCAAGACAGACAAACTCCTACAGGCCTCCATCCCTGCTTTTTTGCCTAAGTCCTAAACCCTAAACCCTAAACCTTAAACCAAACACTGCCCCGAAGGACATCTTCATCCTCATAACATCGGCCCTGGGCGCGTTTGGCGCGACCATAGCTACGCGCGGCCTCTTGCTGGACTATGCTCATGTTCATATGAGCGACATATCAGAGTTCATTGTGACTTGATGCAGTTGAGGGCGTAATTTGGTTGTATCTTCTTGTATCAACAGAGATGCTGAACTTCGTCAAGGCGACCACGCCCAGCTAAGGTGATGGTGGCCACATTCATCCTCGGAATGGTCTACCAGCATCGATCCTACAAGCAGAGCAGCTAGGATTGACGGCCCGGAGGCTCCAAAATCCTGAATTGAGGAATATCCCAGGGTTTGTGTTAACTGATCATCTATAACGAAGAGCCTTTGTTCAAGGGACATTGGATAGTGGAGTCTCTGGGTTCAACCAACCCTCATGGACGTCGACATAATTCGCTGATCCCGTCGTGCGTAAGGGGTGAAACAGGCTGCAAAAGGAATTTCGCATCGTTATACAAATTATGACAACCTGAGAAATGATTGTGCAAAAATGATGGGGAAAATATTTGGCTGAAAAGTCTACATGTTTTCCAATCGGTTTTGTATGTTTAGACAGCAAGATATTATTATAATATTTCTATATTAAAGCGTGGGCCGTGGGGAGGATTCTAGAATTAGAACATTACTATGGAAGGTGAACATCGTTGACGGGCCTTTGTGTTGCCAACAGTTAAGGGGGAAGTATAAAAGGACAAGGCGTTTTTTTTGCGTTTAAGACGATTTTAAATAACTTAAAATAAAATACGGGAGGATGATTGAACTCGCTTAAATCCTATGCGTACGATTACTCGATACTCCAATTCTAAATTGATCTAGATTAGCCAAGAGGGATTCCGGCAAATTATAATAACACTACGTATGCGTGCCTCGAACCAATATTTGGAGAATTGAGTGTATTTTTGGGAAGTGGTTGGTTTGGATACGTTAAGACGCGTTTATATTTCGAAGCGGTATTTATTATAAAATTACATTTCTTTTTATAGGGAATGGTTGTTTTTGATATACCATTAGGTTATCGAATACTCTCTTAGGGAATTTTAGTTTTGATATTTTAGGACGATACGGATTTATATCTCTAAATTCGAATTTTCGATGGCATGAGGAGATTTAGGGGCAGTCCCATGTAGAGCATGTAAGGAAAAAATAGAAATTCTATTGGTATAAATTTGGATTTGCAAATTAGTATCCGTAATTTATATATTAATTTTAGTTTTCATTTTGTTTTTAATTCTTGTATATAGATTTTTGGAATTTAAGGGGAGAAATAATAAATATAATTATATTTAGCTGATGGTTTATATTTATGTATTATACATTTTCGAGGTAAAAGAAGGATATTCTTATTCGTAATATTTTGGTTAATTTAATTGATCTATTATCGGAGGATAAGAAAATTCTATAAAAATGAGTACGATTAGTATTAATATAAAAAATGAAAATTATTATCTTATAAATATGAAAATATATAAATCTCTCTTATATATTCGATTTTATTTGTTAATTTTAGATATTGTTATTTAATAATTTTAGATATTATTATAGACTTAGATTTATTTATGATGGTATTATACATGGGAGGCAAGGAATCGAGAAAATCGTAGAATCTTATTTTAATATTCTTTAGGAATGATTTTAGTATCTTCGAATTTTAAAATTGATTTTTTCTTATTAATTTCTCTTTCTCGATAGTAAGGAATATTATTGGGAGGGTTGGGCATAATAATATAATTTTTTCTGATGGAACACTATTAGGTTTGAATCGTAATTGGGCGGTGCAGACCGAAACCATAATATCTCTAAATCGTCACCACAAATATATTATAAAGCCGATAGCAGAATCAGAAAGTTTATATACGACAAACCAAGCATCTAATCCTCTGAATTTCTTTTTATAATAAAGTCTAATTAAAATGGAGACAGAAATAATAATAATTCTAAAATCAGTAATTTTTTATTGAATTTCAAATTATAAATCTAATTCATATAAGAAAAAAGAAGAAAAAGAGAAATATAAATTATATATTATATATAATTAAATTATATATTATAGAAAATATCATAGAAAAGACCTTATTATCGTAAAAAAGAAGCGAGAGAGATAAATAATAATATTTCTAATAAGATCAATGACGAATTATATTAAAATATTAATCGAAATCAATTTCGAAAAAATATATTATTGAAATCGTAAGAGAATCACTAATTATAATTTCTTTAGAAAAATTATCGAAGAAAAGAATTATCCCGGGACGAAAATAATAATATATAATGTATAATATTTATCATATTCTAATCGATTCTTTTATATATTGAAATATATTTTATATATTTTATTATATATATATATATTGATATTCGAGAGAAAATATAATTGTCGGGATTCATTCATATAAATTTTATTCATCTATTTATAATATTCAAAATAAGAAATTTCTGAAATTTTATTATCTATCGAGACCGAATCTATATTATATTCTTCTAGCGGAAATAGAATCAATAATAGCATATTAATCTCACCTCTATAATCTTATATTCGAGTAAAATATGATTTGTGCCCCATGTTAAGTGGATTTGCTAAGTTAACTAAGCATCCAAGTAGAGTCTAAAGGCAGGGTCCATCAAAACAGCTTCGTGGTCGATTGTGGAGTGAGGTTTTCGGTTTTCAGTGCTATATCGTCTTGAGGGCCTGAGGGTGCAGCCTTTCCCAATGCGCTTTGATCCATTTGTTTTCAATACTTTGGTTGGTTTTGAGCCTTAGTCGCACATTCTGTGCACGGACTCAACATACACCATGCCGCTGCTTCTGCTTGCCTTCTCGGCCCCCGACCGACAACTCAATAACGGCAGCTTGTGTCGAGCCGAGGGACCGAGAAGCCGAAATTTTTTGGAGCCGATCATTCAAGCATCGTCCTTCAAGTGACACTGAGGCTTCTATAGTCTGGATCGTTTTAGGTCATTGACGAAGCAGAATGCCAACATGGCTGAAGACTTGATGCGGCTCTTCCACACACCGGATCTACTGACAGGATTTGAGAGAACTTCGGATTGTTGGCTCCAACATCCAAGGTATTGGGTTAGGCTTGTTCACCATGAGAGGCGTGACATAGTGAACCCAAACAACCTTTCATTTACGAAATGAGGTAGAAATCTTGCTCATTCACACTCCTACACACTTCACGCTCTTGTCGGGTGTCCGTGAGTGTTCTGAGTGCCATATACTGATCATATACTTGATCGATGGAATGGACATCGATTGTTTACAGTGACCAAATCGCACATACCAACGCGAGTAGCAACGCCAGAGCGCGGTTTGTTGAATGCTGGAAAATACACCTACATTGTCCGGACCCTGAAAAGGTAGGAGCTGAGATTGAGGATCGATGATGTGACATGTTGGACGATCAAGGGTTGACTGTCATTCAGATCCCGATCGTGATCCTGGTTTCGATTGGCAAGGCTACACGGTGTTTGAGGTTCTTCCCTCGTCGATTGAAACTGACGAAGAGGATCATGCCGCTGAGCAAAGCCGAAAACCTAAAGGACTGGGAGTTCCTGGAGAGCCCACTGATTCGGAACGAAAATGAATGAATGCACACATCTTCCATTCCGATCGTGGTGCAAGCATTGCACTGTGGCGAAAGGTAGACATGCTGCCTCCCCACAATTCAAGGATAGTTAGGCTGTCACTCAGATAGACAGACTATTGCTTCACTCGAACTGAACCCAAATTGGAGATGCAAACACTGCGTGATCGCCAGCGCGCAGAGTCATGCCTTTTGAGCAGAGGTCATGAAACGCATATGTCTGGAACACGGCTTGTGCGACTCTTGATTCTCAAGAGTCTCGCAGTTCTCCCTTGCTTCACAGGTACACGAATGAACATCCAAGTCTCATGCTCCCGGCTTTGGGAGAGCTATCCCCTCTGGGGACATGAGCAAACAGCGTGGCTTGGGCACAGTTCTAAACCCAGCCACTCGGAGGACACTTGATCACTGCACCAGAAGAAGAGAACCCTGAAACCCTGACCGCCCTCTCCCATGGCTTGAAGATGCCCAAAAGCTACTGCCTAACAACAACTCGTCCCGAATCCCGGCTCGTCAGTATCTGCTAGGTCACACATCGGTCGGCCTTGGTTCACAGTTGGGGGTCTCCAAGTCTTCGGCGGTTTATAAGTTCTCGGGTTTACGCCGTAGGGTAAGGGGGTTTCTTGGCAGACGTGCTCTACGCACTATGCGCTGAGTGTTTTGTACCCTACGGATGGCCACCCAAGGAGCACAATGAGAAATCAGCTCTCCGTGAGTCACGTAATTTTTGATACCAGCACAATGCACTCGCTTCCTCGTCTCGTGATTGGTCTGTCTGCTCTTGATATTTCAGTTTTGCACTCGGGGACTTCTTCGGCCGAAGCTTTTGCATTCGGTGGTTGCGCGCTCTAGACATAGAGAGGAAAAACTGTTATCTCCCCAACATGTTCAGTGCTCTGCGATATCCGCAATTTTTGCTTTGAGCTTGAGGGTTTCTCACCACTTTCACCGCAAGTCCTTCGCATTGGTTTACCGACGCTGTCTAGGCTGTTCGTGATCCACGCCTCTGCTATTGTTGTCCCTTCGGGATGTGTTTCACAGAAAGGCCTTCTCACCGTCTTTACAACATGCTCCGAGCATCTCGTCTTTTGAAATTGCGTTACTTGCTTACTTTACGGTTTCGCACTTGGGGCACTCTTGTCGACAGAAGACCGGCCCACGCTTGCCCCGACAGGTTCCGGTGGCGAGGTTTTAGGTCTGAAGTTTGGGGGAACATGTGTCAGTTATGCAGGGCTACTGAGCTTTAGATTTCTGCTCTGATTGTTTTGGTGCAGGGCACAGGCATATCCGAACATAGGCGTCCACACCAGTGTGAGTGCTTGCAGATGATAAACGGTGCTGCAGGCCCCATGGAGATCACAGATCATGCTGCTGGGATTTGTAGACTTCACCTGCAAGAAGGCCTGCGACTGATCTTCTTAAACCAATCCGACACTGAAATGCAATGCTGCAAAGAGCAGAAGGCTCAAACACAAACGCCACCAAGCATTGCTTTGCGCTCTGCTGTTTTTAGGATTCATGCCTCTAGAAGTCTGCAGGGGCGAAAGAAGTAGAGGTGCCTGAAAAGTCGCAACCCTCTTTCACTCGCTCACTAACTCACTCTCTTGGGAGTCAGAGATGTCAGAGCCATGAGCTTTGGGGGACGTGGGGATTACGGTG